TTAATACCCGAATTAACAGCTGTAAAAGTAAAGACTACAAGAATGTCAATAATAATTAAGTAAAATAATAAGGTCGTAATCCATAAGAAAAGATGATGGTAATGTAAGGAATTTGCCAACCTTTCAAGGGAAAGGCCCCATGCGATAACCTGAACATCTTCGGGAAGCCCCATGGGAAGCAGCATTTCAGGTCTGAACATGCCTGAGTTTCCAATTTCGACCCATTTCCCTAAACCTTCATGATAACTGATGGAAAACTATGGAATTAGCATACTTTCGGAAATGCTACAGTAGTTTCAAGTGATAATTTTTTTTAATACTACCTGAAGATTTCCATGCTGGGTTCAGTATATGGATTGTAAGCAGGCTTGAATTTAAGCTTGGACATTCCTGAAATCAACAGATACAAGGACATTTGTCAGTACTCTGCTATCCGTAAATATTTTCCAAAAGCACATCATGATAGTTTACGAAATAGAGGTTAAGAAAACTTCATGTCAACCAAATCTCCTATTATCACAACGTTAATATGTAAAATACTTGATAGAGAGGATCTATTAAAATAAAAGGCAGATATATTTACCCAGACGAGAGAAGAAATCTTCAAGAACTCCTATCAAATGTCCAAGGGTAAGCCCATGATCGCAAATTAAACCTAACGAAATATAGTCCGTTAATGAGTGAGCAGATAAATTGCAGTAGTGTATTATTTGTCAACCAAGGAAACAGAATTGTCTATACACTTAAAACTTTCTGTAGCGACTCTTGTAACATATTCCATAATGTAATCAAAATGAATATAGCCAAGTCGTAAAGTTTGGACCAACTTAAAGTTCCATATCCCCAATGCCCCAGACTCAGAAGCACGCAGTAAGCTTCCCAGGAACAAGCAGACAATTCTACTAAAGCTTTCAAATGCAAAATTGAATTTCTTTCCTCCAATTGTATGATGTTGGATTTACTATCGCTAAATCCATGTCATCAACAAAAATACAATTGACTTGTGATGCTACAAAGCTCGAGTTGAACCACATCAGATAATCAGAATTTTGGTCTTAGATTTGTGTCATAATTATTGTACAATCACTCTATGATTCCTCCTCCTCTACAGCTTGTAATGGGACAGGCAACATGAATACATACTTAATCAAGCCACGGAAACCTCCATGCACTTCTTGAGAAAATGCAAAATACCTTCTATCTGGTGGAACTCTGCAAGATGCGTCCGATCCACGGCTTCATTCCTAAAAACACGATCTATGGAATAGTACTTTTTGGGAGTAAAATCCTGCCCAAAAGAAAAGCACCTTGAATGATAGCATAGTAGATGCAGTTGACGTGTAAAGAATTTCTACCAGAAACCTCACCCCCATTTCCAATACCCATGTGTGACATCTTCGAAAATAATATTGACAATTGACAACAATAACTAAAGAGAGAATAAACACGGTGGAACACAGGCTGTTGTAATAATGATAAACAAATAAACCTTTAAATTCAACAAAGATGTGCCTAATATCTTGGGTCATGAATAACTTTTTATGAAGGGAACTCTCATGTAGAGAGTTCTACAAGTAGCGAAATTTTCACCCAAGAAACATGATGCTTGAATAGCAAATTAATAGGGAGATGCTAAATAGTTTAAGAAATAGCAAATAAAAGCTTAGAAAGTGATGGAGAAGAAAAAGAAACAAAACAAACAGAGGCAAAAGTCAGAAAAGAAAACAAGAGAACTAGTTACTGGATCAAACGTACCTTAATCTAAACACTCAGATACATCATACTTATTAGGAAAAAAAAGGGATAACAGGAATGCTTGTGTGCACAAAAAAGTGCACTTGAATACAGGCCCTCAAAGAAAAGAAAAAGACAAATACCTGTGCAAGTGCATACAGCATCCTGGAGGAAACAGCAGTAGTATGAGTCCGCAGAATATTCTTGTTTGCTTCTTCTCTCTTCCATTCATACCCATACCTAGAAGAAATGGAAAATTTGACACAAACCTTCCAGAGTGACACTGATTAAATGTGAAAATTATGCAGTCGCCTACCCCCTGGACCCATAACCACCAGATTCATGAACTCCCTTTACCCGCTCAACATAATCTTCAGGAAGCATTTTTGTAGTAGAAGGCTCTGTAAAAAAATTATTTACCATAAGAAATCTGACAAAATTGGACAAGAACTAGAGATCCAAGATAAATGCCAAACCTTTCAAAAAGAATGTATCGTGCGAGTCACGAGCTGGGTGTTGTTGAGGCTGGAAAAGTGCATCAAAGTTCCAGAAGCTACAAAACCCAACAAAATCATCATAGATTTATAACAGCCGCCTCTTAATGTACAAGTAAACAAGGATAAAAGCAACCAAAAGAAAGATCCTAAAGGTGAAAAAATAGGTTCAGGGGACACTGGAGAGACCCCGGGGGGGGGGGGGGGGGGGGGGTTTTTTTTTTTTTTTTTTTTTTTTTTTGGGGGGAAAAAAAAATTGGGGGGG